CCTGTGCTCTGGCTTAAGATGGTCAACCTATAACCCTCTGTGTCAGACTACAGCACATTTATCCCCAAGCAAAATAAAGCAACAATTTTCAGTTTAGCTTCCACAGAATAAAATAGCTAGAAATCTCAATGTTTGGTCTTCTGAAGGCTTTTTGCATATGAGACTTAAAAACAGGTATCTAATAGGTACCTTTCAAGGATTCTCTCTGAAGACTTGATTCCAGCTCAAGTCAGAGCCTGACAAGTTTCCATTCAAATGACAATATTTGCCATCTACTTTGGGTCACTGCAAATCATGGAGATAACCCAGTTGGCCTTAAACTATTTAGCTTGGCTACTATAGAAAGTGTACTTGCAGCAGCACTGAACTTATTACAAATTGCAAAATGACTGAGTCAACATTCAAGTAGCTAGTCCATGCTGACCTCCATGCTGCTATACCTAAAATGATATCTGTGCTGGAGCTAGCTAATTTATAGCTAGCTAGGGTGTAGCTCTAGGAGCTGCAGTCATCACAGTGGCTACAGCACAAGGCATACCATTCAAAAAGAATTTTATTGTGCCTATGCTTTACAATGCTACCAGCAGCTTCCTATTGGGGAAGTACTTAGGTATTGGACATTACTTGTCACTTCAGATTGAAGGGTCACTTTGATGAGGAATATAAAAGACTAAGGCTAGAGGACAAGTACATTTGAAATTTTGAAGCACTCCAAACATACAACCAACATGGTATCCAAATTAGATCAGACTCTGATTTTATAATCTCAGCAGAGGTATTGACAAACTGTCATTCTACCAGCTGGAGTTTTTATTTCCTAAAATACTTGGTCAGAAAGGAAACAATTAAAACCCACTTTGATTCCAACAGCTGCTACCGCATCAAAAAGAATCATAACCGTGTTTATTCTTATTACTCGTGTCATAAGGCACCTTAAATCTGACAAATGCCTGTTGAGCTATTTGTACCAGGGAAGAAATGAATAAACTGCATTAAATTTTGTTATTCTCTCTTTCC